AATAGTGGGGAGAGAGAGCAGGGGAAAGAGGTTAGAGTAGAGAGCTCCGGTGGGGGAGCGAGCCCCAGCACAGACACCATGGGCTGAATGGCCAACGCTGTGACTTTTATGGTTCTCTTTGCCTAGAAATACACACGACTGCACCGGGCGATGGATTCCCTTTGGTTTAGACGGTTCGATGTGACAGACTCGGTATCAAATGGAGGATGATATGACTACTTAGCGCTGTATATGAGGGTTACTGTGGGGTGCACTGCCCCCAGGTGGCTGGGGTTGATCATAGTAATCACAGGTGTCAGCCCGGCTCTTCGTCAGAAGGTTGTGGGTTCAAGCCCCCAAGTCGGGACCTTTAACTCACATTCCCTGCTGACAGTGCAGTCCAGTGCGGTGCTGGGGGGGAGAGCAGCATTGTCGGAGGTGACGTCCTTCGAATGAGATAATGATGATCCTTGACTTCGGCATGGTCGGGAGGACGTCTCCAAGTGTAGTGACTGTGTAGTTGCGGCAGCCAGTTAGTTAAGCACAGCTGTGTCCCACAAACAGCCATGTTCAGTGAGCCACCGGTTTTATTTGGGGGGATTGTCGGCCGGACATCAGGGGAGGGAGAAGCTCCCTTCTCTTTTCAAACAGCATTGTGGGATCTTTAACGGTCCTCGGTTTAACGTCTCACTCAAAGGACGGCATCTCTCACAATGCAACACCCCCTCCCTTCCCATCCCGGTTGTATTGGAGCATCAGCTTAGATTCCAAGTCCTGACCTGGGGCTTGAACCCACAACCCACGTTTGTTCCGTCTGCTCAGCGGGCTCCAGCCTGCTCCACGTGCCCCGCCCTGCCCTCCCCACCATTGGTGATCAGGCCTTCAACTTCTCTACACCCCCCCCCCCACTCTCTTGATTTCAATCCCACAGTCCCTTCACCTCGCTCCCTCCCTGGGGCACGGGGCACCGTCAAAGATGAAGGACTTCAGGAGCGACCTGAAGAGGCGGAAGGATGGAGCAAGGCGGAGGGATAGAGGGGTAGAGTTCCAGAGTTTTGAGGCGTAATGGTTTCAAGACCCTCCTCTTCGACCGAGCCTTTGGTGACCCTCCTACCCCCACCCTCTCCACCCTCCACCCCTCCTGATCCCAACCCCAGCTCAGGAGCAAATCCCTGACTGACCAGTGCCTTGGGACATCCTCCCGATGTGAAAGGCGCTGTACACATGTAATTTGTTGTTGTTGTGGTTCTGCCCCTGAGGCGAGAGCACAACCACTGAGCCAGACTGACGCACAAGATGTTAAACCCGAGGGGAGTGAAACCCGGTGCCTGTTCAGGAGGACGTTATTATTATTATTATAATGTCTCATCCACAGGACGGCATCTCTAACAATGCCGTGTCCCCCCCCCCGCACCCCCCGCACCCCCCCAGCACTGCACTGGAGCGTCAACTCAGACTGAACCCACAACCTTCTGACTCAGAGGTGAGAGTGCGTTCGACTGAGTCGGACAGACTGTATAGTGGGGGGTAGTGGGGGACGTGTATTTGCTTTGATTGTGTGCACTGTAGCGTTAATTAATTAAACTTGCATCAGTCTCTGTGTGTGTGTGTTTGTGTGTCTTTGGCCAACTCACACACGCACTGACATCCATACCTGCTGACTACGTGAGCGCAGCAAACGCACACACACACACGCGCGCGCACACGCACACGCAAACACACACACAGACTGATGACATGTGGAAGGAATTAGAGAGGTTGAAAACCAGGGCCGGGAAAGGCTGGATTGGATCTGGAATAACAATAAGGGAATCCTCGTGTTGAAACGTCTCAAAACACTTCACCGCAGTTACTGTTGAAATGGATCGACTGTGAAATTGTGGACAAACACAGTTTGGACGCGGAAAAGTTCCACAAACAGCCACGGAGTGTGCGGCCGATTTTATTTGGAGGATTGTTGTCCAGGACACGGAGAGAGAGAAACTCCCTTCTCTTTTCAAACAGCATCACGGGACAATAATAATAATAATAATAATAATAATCCTTGCATTTGATACAGCGCCTTATCATGTCTTCGAGACGTCTCAAAGCGCTTCACAGGATACACTGCAAAATACAGTGACTGTGTTTTGTGGGCGAAAAGTGGCAGCCAATTGCGCACAGCAGTGCCCCACACACACGGAGTGAGTGACCAGTTTTATTTGGGGGATTGTTGGCCTGAACACCGGGAGAGACAGAGCAACCCCTTCTCTGTTCGAATAGTACCATAGGATCTTTGACATCCACCCGACCATGCAGACGGGACCTCGGTTTAATGTCTCTCTGAAGGACGACACCTCCGAGAATGCCGGGTACCCCCATCACTGCACTGGAGCGTTACCTTAGACTGAGTTCAAGACGGGACCAACACTTCACTCGATAACACTGGTTACTCACTCGATGGCTTTTTGTGAGCGTTGCTGTGAGGAGAAATGTGCTGTGCGTACACAAATACAGACACTACACTCGACAGTAAACCTGTGGTCGGTGCTATCATCAAATGTAAGGATTATTAGTATTTTCAGTCCTGAAAGGGGATGTTATGGATTGTGTTTAATACAGCACTTTGTCACATCGTTAAGACCTCTCAAAGTGCTTCACAGAATATACTCTAAAGTGAATTGATTGTGTATTTTGTGGGTGAAACACGGCAGCCAATTGTGCACAGCAGCAATAAATAAAATAATCATGGAATGAGTGACCAAATTATTATTTTTTTAAAGGGGTTATTACTCCCGGAAAGTGGTCTGTGGATTGCTGTTATTGTTGTTGTTGCTGTGGTTGAGGATTCGCTTAGAAAGCAGTTTGATGCTGTGTCGGGAAGTCTGTAAAGTGGGGGAATCCAGAAAGATGAGATCGCTCGGGCCAAAGGGGATCTTAATCCAAACCAATCCTACGGTTAGTGCCCTCGACCCACAACCAAGAGGACCCGGGTTCGATTCCCGTCAGGCAAAACCTTACTGCACACGCCTCGGTTTACCCAGCAGCAAGTAGGTTGTTGATTGGCGGATCGCTTTCCAGGGGTAATAATCCCTCAAAAAATGAAAGAAATTAATAATAATTTTGTCACTCGAACCATGACTGTTTGTGGGACGCTGCTGAGTGCAATTAGCTGCCGTGTTTTGCCCACAGTCAATTCACTTTACAGTATATTGTGTGAAGCGCTTCGAGACGTCTCGAAGACGTGATAAGGAGTTGTGTCAAATGCCAGAATTATTATTATTATTATTATTATTATTATTATTATTATTTTTATTATTATTATCATCTTGTGATCAGTAGCTGTGTTGTACAGTGCCCTTCACTGTAGGATATTGCATCCGAGTGCTCTGCTCCAGTGATGAGGTGAGACGCTGAACAGGGCGGGTGGTGGGGGAGGAGGTGACCATAGGCGCTGTTGAAGATTATTTTTTAACGCAGAAGAATCGTCAGAACATGAACCGTCCCCCCCCCCACAGGTCTCTGATGAGCCCCGAATCCATCGCCACATTTTAAAAGGAATTTAATAAAGATTTGAGGAGAAATAACGTGGGGAATGGGGTTCGAGTAGAGAGTGCAGGTCAGCGAGAGTCAAGGCATTGGGGTAACTGCCGGAGTCTAACCAGCTAAAACCACGTGGTCTGCCATTGGTATCGCTGTCTGGCCAGCTTTCCCGCTGCTTGTCCCGCTGGGACCACCCTCTCCGTCGGGACTTTGGTTTGCAGGGTTAACAGGAGCTGAGTGGGAGGATTCCCCGCCCCCAGTGACTGGGACGTTCAAAACACTTGTGCTGGATAAAATGTCTGTAACGCTGTGTAAAGCCCAAAAATACAGTCACTACATTTTACAGTGTATTCTGTGAAGCACTTTGAGACGTCTGAACGACGTGATAAGGCACAATATCAAATGCCAGGGTTATTATTATTAGTATTAGTAGTAGTGACTGTATTTTTGTAAGCAGTTTTGCAATGTCCTGGCAATCAGCCTTGAAGTGAATGATAATAACAATACAGTAATAAAAATAATCCTTGCAATTTGATACAGCGCCTTATCACGTCACAGGGACTTCTAAAAGCCCTTCACGGGATATACTGTAAAGTGTAGTGACTGTGTATTTTGTGAGAGAAACACGGCAGCCAGTTTGCACGCAGCAGTGTCCCACAAACAGCCGTGGAGCCAGTGAACAATTTTATTTGGAGGATTGTTGGCCGGATATCAGGAGAGAGGAACTCCCTTCTCTTTACGAATAGTGCTGTGGGATCTTTAATATCCATTTGATCCTCAGTTTAATGTCTCGTCTCCAGGGGATTGTTTGGCCAGAAACCACACACACGCACATACAAACACACACACGTACATACAAACACATACACACACACATGTACAGGCACACACATACACACTACAGACACACACACATACAGGTAACACCCACATACAGACACACGTGCACATACAGATACACACACACACATACAGACACACGTGCATACATATAGACACTCACACACATAGATGGAGACACCCGCACACAGACAGGCACACACACATCTAGACACGCATGCTCAGACATAGACACAGACACAGAGATATACAGACACCCAGACACAGACAGACATCCGACACAAACGCAGATACCCCCACAAACACATACACACCCACACACATACAGACAGAAACGCCTGTTGGCACCCACCCACATACAGACACATATATACAGTCATACGCACATAGGCAGATACCCACACATACAAACACCCACCCGCACACACTCAAATGCAAGGGTTATTATATATTACAGACACACAGACACCCCCACACACAGACACCCCACACATACACACACACACAGACAGCCCCGGGGGTCAGTGTGTGAAGCTGGGAATCCGCCCATTTGCAGACCAGTGAGAAACTGGATCCGTGATTAAGCAGCTTCCAGGATGTCACTATCACCCCTGTGTGTGCCGTGTGTGTGTGTGTGTGTGCCGTGTGTGTGTGTGTGCGTGCTGTGTGTGCGCTGGGCTGGGCTGGTGGTGTTTTCAGGAAATACTGTACAGAGCTTTCCACTGAGAGAGAGCGCGGGGGGAGCTGAGAGAGACTGAGACGGGCTGAGAGACGAGGACAGGAGCTCTGCTCTGTCTGTCTTGTCTGCATCTCTCGCTCTCTCTGCAATCGCCTGGGAGTGGACTAACAGCTGCCTTTTGCAAACGCATCGTCTCTTTTATTTATTTCCCCATTTAATCGGCGTTACAGTCTGTGCTGTAAGATTTTATGGTTCTATATAATCCCCGCGGACCTATTTTCCCAGTTCCTCACAGTGTGTGTGTGTGTGTGTGCATAGCCTTGTATTTTATCTTATTCCTGTCCCCCTGTCTGTAAGCAGGGATGCTTTTCCCCCTCCCCACCCCTTCTTTCTCGCCCTGTTTAATGCTCCTCTGAAATACTCCTCTCTCCCACACCCTCCCCCAGTTTGTTGTTGTTATTCCCCCCAAAACATGGATTTAATCCTGCAGAAACTGTCCAGAGACGCCACTGGTAACAGGTACAAACCCATCAGAGACGCCTGCAACTCAGCATATGGTAAGCTATACCCCCCTTCTCACCCCCCTCACCCCCCCACACACACACTGCACCCCCCACACACACTGCCCACCCCCCACACACTGTCCGATGACCTTCGCTTTGCTTGTCCAGTGTTTGGGTCACTGGCAGTGATTTAAAGGGACAGACCACCTCTTCTCTACCCCCAGCACCACCTTCACATACACAGAACATACCAGTGGGTTGGGGGATGTTTGTGTGCGTGGTGGTGGGTGGGGGGGGGTTTCCCTGAGCGAGATGCCCTCCTGATGTGCCGGCTAATGTAAGTGCTATTAGTAACCCTAGGCCCCATCCCCGCCTGTTAAAGGATCCAGTGAGGCTCTCAGAGAAGACAGGTAAATGTCTCCTGGTTGATAACCGTCTGGGTGTTGGAGGTGATTTGACCTGCTGGTCTGGACGCTCTGAGACGCCGTCTAGCGAGAGGGCGCTTGCTACGCAAATGCAAGTTGTCGTCGTCGTTGGTAATGAATGAACAGATCATTCTGAAGTCCTGTAGCTCAGTGGTTAGAGCGCTCGCCTCGCAAGCGAGAGACCTGGGTTTGATTCCCGGCAGGTCAGGGCGAAACCTTGGGCAAGTTTCCTTACTCCACACACCTCATAATAATCCCTCAAGAAAACCTAAAACAAAATAATAAATTGGTCACTTCAGTCCACGACTGTTTGTGGGGACGCTGCTGTGTGTGCAGTTGGCTGCTATGTTTCGCCCACAAAATATACAGTCACTACAGTACATTCTGTGAAGCACTTTGAGACGTCTTGAAGACGTGAAAAACACTATATCAAATGCAAGGATTATTATTATTATTATTATTAGATCTGTCTCTGTTGTTGCAGCGTTGCTGGAAACAGAAAATGAAGCTGAGAGATTGCCACCTCACCGACTCAGGTAAACATCCTGATATCTGACAGGGAAAGGGGGGGTTGGTGATTAGTGTCAGCTTCAAAATACAATACAGAATCAAATAGAAAACAGAAAGCGCAGTGGAGAACTGAAAAGGGAATAAGGTCAGAGATGGTGTATGGGAAAAGATTAACAGGGAACACAAAAGCCAACACTAAAGTCCTTTATAAACATATCAAGAGTGAAAGGATGGTCAAAGGAAGGGATGGGCCGATCAGGGACCAAAAAGGAAAACTTATGGAGGCAGAGGGTATGGCTGAGGTGCAGAGGGTATGGCTGAGGTGCAGAGGGTATGGCTGAGGTGCAGAGGGTATGGCTGAGGTGCAGGGGGTATGGCTGAGGTGCAGGGGGTATGGCTGAGGTGCAGAGGGTATGGCTGAGGTACAGAGGGTATGGCTGAGGTACAGGGGGTATGGCTGAGGTACTGAGGGTGTGGCTGAGGTGTAAGGGATATGGCTGAGGTCCAGGGGGTATGGCTGAGGTGCAGAGGGTATGGCTGAGGTACAGGGGGTATGGCTGAGGTACTGAGGGTATGGCTGAGGTACAGGGGGTGTGGCTGAGGTGCAGATGGTATGGCTGAGGTACAGGGGTATGGCTGAGGTACAGGGGTATGGCTGAGGCAAGGGGTATGGCTGAGGTACAGGGGGTATGGCTGAGGTACAGGGGGTATGGCTGAGGTACAGAGGGTATGGCTGAGGTACAGGGGGTATGGCTGAGGTACAGGGGGTATGGCTGAGGTACTGAGGGTATGGCTGAGGTACAGAGGGTATGGCTGAGGTACAGGGGGTGTGGCTGAGGTACTGAGGGTGTGGCTGATGTACAGGGGGTATGGCTGAGGTGTAAGGGATATGGTTGAGGTACAGGGGGTATGGCTGAGGTGCAGAGGGTGTGGCTGATGTACAGGGGGTATGGCTGAGGTACTGAGGGTACGGCTTCTGTTGTCACAAAAGGCGACGTTGCCAATGTCACAGTAAAGGAGGAGGAGGTGGAGAAATTGGATAAAAATAGATAGAGAGGAGGTATAAAGGGTTAGCAGCGCTCAAAGTAGAAAAGTCAGCTGGTCCGGATGTGATGCATCCTCGGTTGCTGAGGGAAGTTAGGGTGGAGATAGCCGAGGCTCTGGCCACAATCTTTCAATCCTCCTTGAATATGGGAGCAGTGCTTGAGGACTGGAGGGTTGCAAACATCACACCCCTGTTCCAAAAAGGGGAGAGGGATAAACCTGGTAACTACCGGCCAGTCAGTCAGACCCTCTTATTTCCAGTCAGTCTGACGGCAGTGGTGGGGAAACTTCCAGAGACCATAATCCGGAGCAAAATAAATTTTCACTTGGAAAAACACATACTAATTAATATCAATCAACATGGATTTGTTAAAGGAAAATTGGGTCTGAGAAATGCAATCGAGTTATTTGATGATATAACCGAGAGGAATGATGAAGGTAGTGCAGTTGATGCAGTGTATGTGGACTTTCCGAAGGTGTTTGATGAGATGCCATATAATAGAATAGTTAGAAAAATTGAAGCCCATGGAATATAAGGGCCGGTGACTGAATGGATACGGAATTGGCTGGGAGACAGAGCGCAGACCCCTGGACTTGGGCACAGAGAGCAATGATAAGGCTTGCAGATGCCACAAAACAGTTAGGAGGATGGAGGCAGACTGCAGGAGGACATGGGTGAAACGGGCAGACACATGGCAGATGGAGTTTAATGCGGAGAGGTGTGAGGTGCTACATTTTTGGAGAAAGAATGAGGAAGAGGCAATATACAATAAATGGTACAGTTTTAAGGGGGATTCAGGAGCAGAGAGACCTGGGGGTTCACATCCAACAACAACAACAACTTGGATTTATATAGCGCCCTCCACGCCGGACGGCGTCTCCATCTGGGGGTGATGTTACTGTGTTAGTGTGTGTGGGGGGTGATGTTACTGTGTTAGTGTGTGTGTGGGGGTGATGTTACTGTGTTATTGTGTGTGGGGGGTGATGTTACTGTGTTATTGTGTGTGTGGGGGTGATGTTACTGTGTTATTGTGTGTGTGGGGCTGATGTTACTGTGTTAGTGTGTGTGGGGGGTGATGTTACTGTGTTATTGTGTGTGTGGGGGTGATGTTACTGTGTTAGTGTGTGTGTGGGGGTGATGTTACTGTGTTATTGTGTGTTGGGGGTGATGTTACTGTGTATTGTGTGTGTGGGGGTGATGTTACTGTGTTATTGTGTGTGTGGGGGTGATGTTACTGTGTTAGTGTGTGTGGGGGTGATGTTACTGTGTTATTGTGTGTGTGGGGGTGATGTTACTGTGTTATTGTGTGTGTGGGGGTGATGTTACTGTGTTATTGTGTGTGTGGGGGTGATGTTACTGTGTTATTGTGTGTGTGGGGGTGATGTTACTGTGTTAGTGTGTGTGTGGGGGTGATGTTACTGTGTATTGTGTGTGTGGGGGTGATGTTACTGTGTTATTGTGTGTGTGGGGGTGATGTTACTGTGTTATTGTGTGTGTGGGGGTGATGTTACTGTGTTATTGTGTGTGTGGGGGTGATGTTACTGTGTTATTGTGTGTGTGGGGGTGATGTTACTGTGTTATTGTGTGTGTGGGGGTGATGTTACTGTGTTAGTGTGTGTGTGGGGGTGATGTTACTGTGTTATTGTGTGTGTGGGGGTGATGTTACTGTGTTATTGTGTGTGTGGGGGTGATGTTACTGTGTTATTGTGTGTGGGGGTGATGTTACTGTGTTATTGTGTGTGTGGGGGTGATGTTACTGTGTTAGTGTGTGTGGGGGTGATGTTACTGTGTTATTGTGTGTGTGGGGGTGATGTTACTGTGTTATTGTGTGTGTGGGGGTGATGTTACTGTGTTATTGTGTGTGTGGGGGTGATGTTACTGTGTTATTGTGTGTGTGGGGCTGATGTTACTGTGTTATGTGTGTGTGGGGGTGATGTTACTGTGTTATTGTGTGTGTGGGGGTGATGTTACTGTGTTATTGTGTGTGTGGGGGTGATGTTACTGTGTTATTGTGTGTGTGGGGCTGATGTTACTGTGTTAGTGTGTGTGGGGGTGATGTTACTGTGTTATTGTGTGTGGGGGTGATGTTACTGTGTTATTGTGTGTGTGGGGGTGATGTTACTGTGTTATTGTGTGTGTGGGGGTGATGTTACTGTGTTAGTGTGTGTGTGGGGGTGATGTTACTGTGTTATTGTGTGTGGGGGGTGATGTTACTGTGTTAGTGTGTGTGGGGGTGATGTTACTGTGTATGTGTGTGTGGGGGTGATGTTACTGTGTTAGTGTGTGTGGGGCTGATGTTACTGTGTATTGTGTGTGTGGGGGTGATGTTACTGTGTTAGTGTGTGTGGGGCTGATGTTACTGTGTATTGTGTGTGTGGGGGTGATGTTACTGTGTTAGTGTGTGTGGGGGTGATGTTACTGTGTTATTGTGTGTGTGGGGGTGATGTTACTGTGTTATTGTACCTGTACAGAGAGCAATGTCTCGCTCCTCTCAAACTGGCTCTGGAATCCAAGAACGTGAAGTTGGCTCAACACGCACTGACTGGCATGCAGGTGGGTATCGGGGGTGGTGAGGGTGGGGATCGGGGGTGGTGAGGGTGGGGATGGGGGTGGTGCAGGTGGGTATCGGGGTGGTGAGGGTGGGTATCGGGGGTGGTGAGGGTGGGGATGGGGGTGGTGCAGGTGGGTATCGGGGTGGTGGGGGGGGGGGGGGGGGGGGGGGGGGGTGAGGGTGGGGATGGGGGTGGTGCAGGTGGTATCGGGGGTGGTGAGGGTGGGGATGGGGGTGGTGCAGGTGGGTATCGGGGTGGTGAGGGTGGGATGGGGGTGGTGCAGGTGGGTATCGGGGTGGTGAGGGTGGGGATGGGGGTGGTGCAGGTGGGTATCGGGGGTGGTGAGGGTGGGGATGGGGGTGGTGTGGTGTGGGTGGGGATGGGGGTGGTGTGGGTGGGGATGGGGTGGTGTGGTGGGTGGGGATGGGGGTGGTGTGGGTGGGGATGGGGTGGTGCAGGTGGGTATCGGGGGTGGTGTGGGTGGGGATGGGGGTGGTGCAGGTGGGTATCGGGGGTGGTGAGGGTGGGATGGGGGTGGTGCAGGTGGGTATCGGGGTGGTGAGGGTGGGATGGGGGTGGTGCAGGTGGGTATCGGGTGGTGAGGGTGGGGATGGGGGTGGTGTGGGTGGGGAGGGGGTGGTGTGGGTGGGGACGGGGGTGGTGTGGTGGGATGGGGGAGGTGTGGGTGGGATGGGGGTGGTGTGGGTGGGGATGGGGGTGGTGTGGGTGGGGATGGGGGTGGTGGGGTGGGGATGGGGGTGGTGCGGGTGGGGATGGGGGTGCGGGTGGGATGGGGGTGGTGTGGTGTGGGTGGGGATGGGGTGGTGTGGGTGGGGATGGGGTGGTGCAGGTGGGTATCGGGGGTGGTGAGGGTGGGGATGGGGGTGGTGTGGGTGGGGATGGGGGTGGTGTGGGTGGGGATGGGGGTGGTGTGGGTGGGGATGGGGGAGGTGCGGGTGGGGATGGGGGTGGTGCGGGTGGGGATGGGTGGTGCGGGTGGGGATGGGGGTGGTGAGGGTGGGGATTGGGGTGGTAGTAGATTTATAATCGTGACGTAGGATCCTGTGAAATGCTGTGAGTCTCACGTCTGAGAGGTGAAGAGGAGCAATGTCTAATGTGAAGATTATTAATATTTACCGTGATGTTGGTTGGGTGGGGGGGGGAGTGTGTGGGGGGGCAGGGCTGTGTGTGTGGGTAGGGGCTGTGTGTGGGTAGGGGCTGTGTGTGTGTGGGGGCTGTGTGGGTGTGTTTGTGTGTGTGTGTATTGGGGCTGTGTGTGTGTGTGTGGGTGTGGGGGCTGTGTGGGTGTGTTTGTGTGTGTGTGGGTAGGGGCTGTGGGTGTGTGTGTGGGTGGGGGCTGTGTGTGTGTGTGTGGTGTGGGGGCTGTGTGGGTGTGGTGTGTGGGGCGTGTGGGTGTGTGTGTGTGGGTAGGGGCTGTGTGTGTGTGTGGGTGTGGGGCGGTGTGGTGTGGGTGTGTGGGTGTGGGGCTGTGTGGGTGTGTGGTGTGTGTGTGTGGTGTGTGTGGTGTGGGGGCTGTGGGTGTGTGGTGTGTGTGGGGCTGTGTGGGTGTGGGGGCTGTGTGGGTGTGGGTGTGTGTGGGGGCTGTGGGTGTGGGTGCTGTGTGTGGGTGTGTGTGGGTGTGGGGGCTGTGTGGGTGTGTGTGTGTGGGGGCTGTGTGGGTGTGGGGGCTGTGTGGGTGTGTGTGTGTGGGGGCTGTGTGGGTGTGGGGGCTGTGTGGGTGTGTGTGTGTGGGGGCTGTGGGTGTGTGTGTGTGGGGGCTGTGTGGGTGTGGGTGTGTGTGGGGGCTGTGTGGGTGTGTGTGGGTAGGGGCTGTGTGTGGGTGTGTGTGGGGGTGGGGGCTGTGTGGGTGTGTGTGGGGGCTGTGTGGTGTGGGTGTGTGTGGGGTGTGGTGTGGGGCTGTGTGGGTGTGGTGTGTGGGTGGTGTGGGTGTGGCTGTGTGGGTGTGTGTGTGTGGGGTGGGGTGGGGTGTGGGTGTGGGGGCTGTGGGTGTGGGTGTGGGTGCTGTGTGTGGGTGTGTGTGGGTGTGGGGCTGTGTGGGTGTGTGTGGGGGTGTGTGTGTGTGGGTGTGTGTGGGTGTGGGGGCTGTGTGGGTGTGTGTGTGGGTGTGGGGGCTGTGGGTGTGGGTGTGTGTGGGTGTGGGGGCTGTGTGTGTGGGTGTGTGTGGGTGTGGGGGCTGTGTGGGTGTGTGTGTGTGTGGGGCTGTGTGTGGGTGTGTGTGGGTGTGGGTGTGGGGCTGTGTGTGGGTGTGTGTGGGTGTGGGGGCTGTGTGTGTGGGTGGAGGCTCTGGTTGGCGGTGCCTGGGGTTGGCAGAAGGGGTGTGTGGGTGTGTGCCCCGAGGCTGTGGCCGGGGGTGACGGGGGGTGACGGGGGGTGACGGGGCAGGTTAACTGGTTGGGGTTTGAGAGAGAGAGAGAGAGGAAACTGTTAGTGGAAAGGATAGTGCTTCTGCTCTGAGCTTTACCTGGAGAGAGAGAGAGAGAGAGACAGACACACAGACAGATACACAGACAGACACACAGACAGACAGACAGACAGACACACAGACAGACAGAGAGAGAGAGAGCTGAGATACTGGTGTCTGCTCCACACCGACTCCACTCCCCCTCCTACAACAGCACCTTCTCTCTCTCTCTCTCTCACCCCTCTCTCTCCTGTACCCCTCTCTCTCCTGTACCCCTCTCTCTCCTGTACCCCTCTCCTGTACCCCTCTCTCTCCTGTACCCGCTCTCTACCTTCCCCTTCTCTCTCCTCCGGTCGGCTGCCGCGCTTTGCCCACAAAAGTCCGCAGTCCGTCCACTTCACAGTCTGTTCCGCGAAGCGCTTTGAGACGTCTGAACGCCGCCGATGAGGCCCCGCGTCAAAAAGGGAGGATTATTATTGGTATAATATTTCAGTGTGACATCCGTATGGTGCGTGAGGGCATTGTGTTCGACGGGGCCTGTCATCCCAGCGTGTGTTTGGTCGGCGCTGGTTTATTCCTGGGCAGTAACGTCCCCCTCGTCTCTTAATTCATCTCCCAATCGCTGCGCAGACGTTGCTGTCGAGTGGGCGTCAGTTGTTCGAAGGCTTGAGGTGTCTAAATGTGTGCAAACTCTCTCTCTCTCTCTCTCTCGCTCGTTCGCTCGCCTCTGAGTCGGGGGGTTCAAGAACCCACGTCGGGACAAATTGTTGTCATTCCCTCGCACCCCCCCCCGCACCTTTTAAAAAGGAGGGTAATTGCAGATATCAGCTAATTAGAACGGGGTGGAACAGACTCGGGGCGGAGGGGCTGAATGGCCTCCTCCTGTCCCCGTGTTCCCAAGAGCTTTGCGGCGACCGCCCGAGGCTCCGGTGGGCGCTGCCTCGCCTCGTGCCGTACAGTAACCTGTATTGTGTTCTGAAGGCCGTCGGGGGGTAACAGACCAGTTATAATAATGCTTATACAAACAGGAGTCGCTGGGAACACTCAGCGCAGGTCCAGGTCATCTATCGATGCTGCCGACTGTTCCCCAGCGACCTCTGTTTTTGTCTGCAAGATTTCCAGCGCCTGCGGTCTTTTTCGCGCTCTGTTTGTAATAATCCCTGCGTCGGATAATAATAATAATAATAATAATAATCCTTGCATTTGATATAGCGCTTTTCACGTCGGGAGAGGACGTGACAAAGCGCTTCATAGAACACACTGTAAAGTGAATTGACCGTATATTGTGGGCGAACGCGGCGGCCAATTGCGCACAGCAATGTCCCACAAACAGTCGTAGATTGAAAATGACCAATTTATTATTGTTTTGTTTTGGAGGGATTATTATTAGGCTCTGTGTGGAGTAAGGAAACTTGCCCAAGGTTTCGCCCTCTGTCTGGAATTGAACTCAGGTCTCTCACTTGCAAAGCGAGTGCTCTAACCACTGAGCTACAGGACCCCCCCACCCCCCGTAATCGGATCCGTAAGCGCCTCATCACGGTCCCTCCGGAGAACCCGGTCTCTCCCGGGTCAGGATTTCCGCTCGCGTCGCAAACCATTTGGTACGGAAGCGTACCGGGGAAATTCACTGAGCCGCGTCCCGCGCTCCCCCCGTCTCTTTCCGCGCTCTCTCTCTCTCTCTCTCTCTCTAACAGCAACGACTTGTGTTTATACGGAGCCCTTTCACGTGGAGCCCTGGAGCGTTGGGATGTCCTCCCCACGTGAAAGGCGCTCTCCACAAATGTCATCTTGTTGTTGTTGTTTGTGGGACTCCTGCTTTTTTTATTCTCTCTCTCTCTCTCTCTTGGCTCTTTTTCTTTCCCGCACGCTCTCTCTCTCTTTCTCTCTCTCTCTTTCCTTCGCTCTCTCTCTCCCTCGCTCTCTCTCTCTCCCTCGCTCTCTCTCTCCCTCGCTCTCTCTCCCTCTCTCCCTCGCTCTCTCTCTCTTTCTCTCTCTCTCTTTCCTTCGCTCTCTCTCTCCCTCGCTCTCTCTCTCCCTCACTCTCTCTCTCTCTCTCTCCCTCGCTCTCTCTCTCCCTCGCTCTCTCTCTCTCCCTCCCTCTCTCTCTCTCCCTCGCTCTCCCTCTCTCCCTCGCTCTCTCTCTCTCTCTCCTTCGCTCTCTCTCTCTCTCTCTCCCTCGCTCTCCCTCTCTCTCTCTCTCCCTCGCTCTCTCTCTCTCTCTCTCTCCTTCGCTCTCTCTCTCTCTCTCTCCCTCGCTCTCCCTCTCTCTCTCTCTCCCTCGCTCTCTCTCTCTCTCTCTCCCTCGCTCTCCCTCTCTCTCCCTCGCTCTCCTCTCTCTCTCTCTCCCTCGCTCTCCTCTCTCTCTCTCTCCCTCGCTCTCCCTCTCTCTCCCTCGCTCTCCCTCTCTCTCTCTCTCCCTCGCTCTTTCACTTTCCACCCTCTTGCTCTCTCTTTTTTCTCTCTCTCTTTCTCTTACCCCCCCCCCTCTCGCGCTCTCTCTCCCTTACACTCCCCCCACCCCCCCCCACTCTCGCTCTGTCTCTCCCTTACCCCCGCCTCTCTCTCTTGCCCAA